ACACAGATGCATCAAGAATCCAAGAAGCGATGAAATAGGCTCTCACACAAACGTACTTTTCATAAGTGATGCATGGCCTGTAACTGAAACATCTGCCCAATCCCCTCCTAATCCCTCCCCTCCACTAACCTCTATGACCAATACAGACATGCAAGCCCCCTCCTCCCTCCCCCTATCACAAGTATGAAAGACGCTCACACAAACAGTCTGATCACAAGATGAGATACGCTCGCACAAACCACCCTACCACAAGTGATGTATGCTCAGATGCCCCCCACACCCGCTAATCCCGGCCCTCCTCCAAAGGTACAATTATTAATTTCATAGGTCTTCCTAAGGGCCTAAATAACCCATGGGGGCATCACCCCCAATAAAACAATATGAAAAGTGATGCATTTCTGGTTCCAGGGTCATGCCTGCTTATTCTCCGAGCCCATTGCCTTGCCTTGTGGACACAACTTTCCCTTGGTGACTACGCCTAAGCCCAGACCCCACCCCAGACCTCTGCTCTCTCTCTCTCTCTCTCTCTCTCACACACACACACACACACACACACACACACACAAAAGCAATGCCCATAATAAGCAAATTACGAAACAACAAAGGGTCTCACTCGACTAAGAAGGCTGAATACCCGTCATCACTACAGTTACTCTCAATCGGTAAGTAGAAGGAGAGCACAAAAAGACATCCTCGAGAGCACAAAACGACAGCTGGAGGTCTGTGTTCATCCACCCAGACTCCATCATCACTACAGTTACTCTCCCTCGGAAAACTCTCCAATCGGTAAGTAGAAGGAGAGCAGAAAAAGACATCCTCGAGAGCACAAAACGACATCTGGAGGTTTATGTTCATCCACCCAGAATCCAGGCACACTCTCCAAAACTCGTTGCTCATTAGCCTCTCGGTCGAGCACTCTCCAAATATTGGATTTGGCAGGCTGCAAACCCTCCAAGCTTGGACAGTGGTTCTCCAGGTCCTGTTCTGACAACTGTCCAACAGTTTTTCCAAGCCCAATTTGGACAGCAACGCCCGATTCTCCCAACTCGGAGAGTGGACAGTAGTCGTGCGAGACCCAAAAGATGATATGGTGAAAGTCAAAAGAGCGGACGAAGATACAGACAATAGAAATGGCACGAATCAAAAAGCTTATTGGAAATCCTGCAAAGTTCGGGCATTCTGCCAGTGACTGGCTTCGTCAGAGGACGATAGAACATCTTGGGAAAGAAAGAGACATAGGTCATGAGCAAACTAAGGTCATGTCCAACCCCCGTTTTTCTCCCTATTGGAAAATGCACACCTAAAGCAGGCGTATTGGCAGCAACCGATGGTGAGCTGAAGACTCGAAGGTAGAGATGGGGGAGCCAGATGGCATATCGGTCACACACTCACAAGGTGCCAGTGGACCCCTCAACACCCCCCCCCCCACCCCTCTCTCCCCCTTGCACCCATACTGGAGGAAGAGTGGGCAGGGGGGGCAGGGCGAGCGCACAGGCGTGTTGTTGCCGTTAGCTGGGGAACAGTGGGCGCACGACAGCGGGTGATGGGGAGGTAGCGGTGCGGCACGACAATGGTAAAGGGTGGCATAGGAATGGTCAGCAGGCGGGCAGTGGCTCTGGCAGGGAGGTGACAGGCAGGCAGCAGGTTTGGCGTGGGGACGGCGCATAGGATATATTCGTCCGGTCTGGATCTACCAAACAAGCCAGTGACCTGAGTTATTATTGTGATGGGCAGCCAAAAATCCAGATTGACCACAAATGCTGAAGTATAAATGCTGGCCATACTTCAGAGGTGGCCAGGATTTGTGGCTGATGACCCTAAAATTAAGGTTCCCTACACATCTTGGCGATGCTCATGCACAAAAAGCCCAGATCGCTGGCCAATCTTAATTTTCATGACCGATTGGAGATCTGAGTTGTTCACAAAACCTGAAATGATGATAGCGAGAGTAATAATCAAACGCACTACCTGAGGTTATTACACCAGTGGATATCTCAAGTGCAAGGAAAATGAGCGATAGCGAACTTCAGAAATCAAAGAGCATCATACACATGAGACCAGATAGTCGACCTCGAACCAATAGCAGAATTTCATCACGAGTTCCACCAAATAAGGACACAGCAAAAGCTCATAATTGACAATGCTGGAATAGTCTCATCATCGTCAACGAAGAACCAATGTCGATATCCTATCTGGCACTCGGCGCCCAGACTACAGATGGCAGATCCTATCTAGCCTAATCTACAATGCCGCCGATGACGTCAACAGCTCCCCGAAGTACGAGCAGATCTCGGCCAATGCCACTCACAACCCCGTTCCCCAACTCACAGATGCCACATGCACCCAAAGACCACCATGCGCCCCATCCAGCATACAGCAGCGCAGCTCGGCTATGGCTGCCTGCTCCTTCCAGCTCGCCTGTGAGCGTGTGAGCGCTGGCCAGCGTTAGCGCAGCAGCGCTTGCGCAGCATGCACCCAGTGTCCGAATGCCGAATGCGTGTGCAGGCCCTTTCCTAAATGGAAGTGGCCTGCCTGCCTTGCGTGCAGCCTGGCTGTGCTGGGCCCCTGCCCAGAAGCTTCCAGTAGGCCCAGAGAGGCTGAGCCCCAGACCAAATGGATCAGGCCAAAGGCCTGTGACAGTTACCCGCGCCCAACTGCCCGCAGCCTGAGTTGGGTCCATGCTGCGTATCTCGCCCAGGGCCTGACTCAGATGCATTTGATAAAGGAGGCCAGGGCCTGGGCGCTTTCAACCAACTGGCGCTGCGCAACTGCCTGAATTTTCCCCCAGTTGCGAAGTAGTCCAAAATAGGCCTCTTGTCGTCTGTCGACCCTGCCTTCACTTAGGGTGGCCGACACTGTTGTAAATAGGGGCCCAGTAGGGCTTATCAAGGCCTTATGCCTCGCACAAGGCCGTTTCCCTTTTGATTAAAAAAAAGAAAAACAAGGGGTCACAAAAACAGGCTTACACAAGGTGAAAAGACGGTGACAATGATAATCAACTGAATTACTTGGGGCCATTACCAGTGGGTATCTCAAGGCCGTTGCCGCGTTGCCCTTTTGAAGAAAAAAAGAGCTAAGGGCAGGGGTCCCCAAAACAGACTACATGGGATCTCCCTTATGACTGACTCAGAGATACCACGGGAGCACGAGAAAGGGAGGCTGATAAAACAGAAGAAGAGCAGCAGAGAATGGCGCACTTCGACTTCGAGTGGCTTACTAGCCAGAGAAGTCGTCAGAGCATCACATTAACTAGAAATGCGCACAGTCAGAACACGGCAGCAACCGCTCAGACATGAATTTCAGAAAACTGAAACCACCCTTTGAGGAGCACGAGAACCGTTGGTCCTCCCAATTGGCCTTAAAAAGCAGTCTCTGCTGATGTTCATAGGGGGAGGGGTAATCAGGGAGGCACAGCGACTGGCCACTCAGATGATGCTCGGTCCCTCTGCTATCAGCTGTCCCCTGGCCGGTGTCCCCATTGGGGGTTCCCTGAAGGGAACAAGGCCAAAAGGCCATCCGGTGTCAGATTAGACACAAGAGTGAATTTACCTGGGCTGGTTAGTCCGATGATAATAATACCTCATAATACCTCAAGGCCATCACCCTTTATAACCAAAAAAAAAAAGAAAAAAAAAAATTTGGTGCTGATCTAGCTTTCCCGGGGCGCCCGGCCGGGCATCCCCGGCCGGCCGCCCCGGGCACCCCACCCGGGTAGGGACCACGCCCGGTGTACCCCGGGCATGCAAAAAACCCACCAAGTTTTTTTTTTTTTTTTTTCCAACCACCAGACCTTGCTGCGCTTTGGGAGTAATGCCCAAATCTGGCCTCTTTTTTTATTTTCACGTATGTTGATTTCTGTGGGTCGGGGGAAGGGGGGGGGTGCAGGAGGGGGCGAATTTGAATCCTGTATCAGCGCGCACCGTCGATCTATGCAGATCAACGACCAGAATCCCCCCAAAAATTAAAAACCTACAAAACAGGGCCTACCGGACCCCAAAAAACAATGCGCCGACCGCTGAAAACAAAGTTGGTACGTTTGGAATAGGGCTGCGGCAAGATTTTTTTTTTTTTTGGCTTTTTCTGCCTTGGTGCAAGAGGCGCCCGGGTGCCTGCTCGGGGGGGTTGCCCGGCCAGGCGCCCGGGCGCCATTCCGGGCATGGTGGGGTACCCCGTGCGCCCGGGGTGGAAAGCTAGGTGCTGATAAAACAGAAGAGTAGGAGCAGAGCATGGCGCACTTCGACTTCAAGTGGCTTAGGATCCAGAGAAATCGTCAGAGCATCACATAAACTAGAAAGAAATGCGCACATTCAGAACATGACAGCAGCCGCAACCGCTCAGACATCAATTTCAGAAATGGGGTGAAAGCTCTAAAGATTGACACCTAAAATAATAGACTTTCCGAACAGCCACATCATCAACAAAAATTATACAGGTCCAATTGAACGCCATGTCCAGAGAAATTGCTCTTCATTTTCAACGTCACTCGATTTTTCATCACTGCAATCGACACCTTGCACCAAGCAGTAATGTTTGTTGCACCTCGACGTTCAGCACGCATACAACACTTGTCGAAGAGAGGGACAGAAGATGCAGACGTCTACATCTAAAGCTCATAATGGCAGTTCAGTGCTCAAGTCCAACACAGTTGTGCATCTGTGCATGGGTGCACATCTCTATGTTGTGGAACAATTTTTCACAATCCCTTGGGCACCTTTCCAAAACTGAGTCATTCATCAGTTGCTCGTGAAAAACGGCGCAGGCTGCATCACAGAGGCACTCGTGCCATTTCATCAATGGCGGGCCGCATTTAAGCACTGAAGTGCAATCCTTGGCCTGTCATTGACACATCTAAAAATTTTCAGACAAATGGGCGGGGACACCACAATTGCCAAACATGCATTCAAGTTCACAATGAGAAAGAAACATAAGTAGAAAAAACTTCTTGAAGAAATCGATTCAGCTTGCAGACACCGCAACAAATGAGTTCAGCTTGAACATACCGCATGGTCGGATTCGAGGGTTCCCCAATTGCTGGTGCTGGTGCTGGTGCTGGTGCAGCAGGCCCACGATTAACCCGCCTATCATCACCATATCCTCCCACAGCCCCACCATATCCTCCCACAGCCCCACCTAGTGCAAGTCTGTAACTGAGAGATGGTGCAAACATAGGACCAGGATTGCTTGGATCCCGATTAGGAAATTCTATCCCCTTCCTCTGCACATTGACAGATCATGACACAAACAGAATAACCCGCTCAGAATATTTCTTCCTACCACTGCCTGCTGTTGGCACTGCAGTAATGGAAACATACGGCACATATATCCATCCACACACAAACAAAAAGACGAGAGAAAGAATGATACATGCTAACTCGAGCAATGTATATGGAGCCAAGGATCCGCAAAGTGACGTAAGGACTCGAATGGAAAATCCAGTGTCAGCAAAACATAACAAGCAATGTGCGTCCAGACACATATGAAAATAGCACAATGTAGCACAGCGGAAGACTCAAAGATATGACATGACCTGTCAGATACTGACGCGACATCCCATCATACACCACACATGTGAGAGAGGAAGGAGGGACCGCATACACAGAAGAAAGGTCCCTCCTTGCACAGGCACATGAGGGAGATACCACGGATGAGAGATGGGGGGAGTGGCGAGACGAAGATGAAGGCGAGGTAGAAGACCAAGATAGCGATAGCGAAGTCCAAAAATAGTCTCCCTGCCGAATGTCCAATCAATGTCTCCACAAAAGTGTTGAATCAGATCCTCGGCCTGAGGCCCGGTGTAACCTTTCTCTCTCTGAAGAAGAAGAAGAAGAAGAAGAAGAAGAAGAAGAAGAAGAAGAAGAAGAAGGAGGGAGAAGAGAGGGAGGGAGAGACGACGAAGAAGAAGAAGATGCTGTTCTCCTTACTGTCTCACCTGCAGGTAACTGCCGCCATGTACTGGCTGTCGTTGTGGTACCTGTGCAGGTCGCTGGCGTTGAGCACAGCTACGGCGCCCAGGTAAGTACCGCCGACAAAGGTATGGCCTCCGCCTCTCTGCCTACCTACACCTCTACCTCTACCTCCTAGCGTAGCGCTGTAGTGTTGCAAAGCTGCTCCAGCAGTGTGCCACCCAAGAAGTGAGCTACTCCAACCATGTGTCTTTCCAGTCGTATCCCAGCTATAAGTAGCGCTGGCCTGGCTCGTCTGCCTCTGTGTGTGTGCCCAAAACGTGGGCCTACAGGGTGACCCTGTACCTGGACAGGGGAGGCCTGCCTCCTGGCTTACCTGGACCAAGGTGCAGCCTTGGGAACTGCAGGTCCAAAACAACGCCTGAACAGACAAAAATAGGACAGCAAACAAATAAATAAATAAATGAATGTTGCCTCGAATCAAATCCTGCGGCCTAAGGGCCAACCATGGGCCTCCAGGGTGCGCGTCCGAAGGCGTGCTGCCTGGGGGCCCCCCAGCAACCGCCGGGCCCCCAAAACGGGGCCTGTGCGCAGGCTCAGCCTGTAACACCCACCCCCCCTTATGAAATCACGCCGGGCTGAGGGCGAAGCTGACGATCTGATGGTGGAACCTGGATGCGAGTACGGCGTGGAGCCGAAGGTACCGGCTTGCCTTGTAGCTTGTGTTTGTAATGTGCGAGGACGTCGGGGGCTGTCGCCTGAAGTTCCGCACGGATCAACCAATGGTCAGCCTTATGACTGCAATACTGGCTGAAATACGAAAAATGTACTAAGTACTCAGTTGGGTTGTTGCCGTAGTGTCGCTGGGAGATGATGTCGCTGACCTCCTGAAAACCGTCCATGGAGGGTGGGACTTGCGATCATCGCCCGGGACACTCGTCGTGTTCCGCTGAAACGAACAGAGCTAACTTAGAACAATGAAAAACCGGGTAGCCGGGCAAGTGGGCAAGCACCTGAACGATAAATGAAGGTCCTTCGGGTGCGTCCCCAGCGGGTGCCACAATGCGCCAAGGCCCCATTCATTTCGGAAGGAGCTTGTGAGAGATGTCAAGGCTAAATTTCGTGGCAGAAACCCAAACGAGGTCACCGGCACGGAATGGACAAGGAAGACGTTGGCGATTGGCCTGTTGGCACACGCGTTGCTGACTTCGACATCTGGTCGTGTGCCTGGACATAAGCTCTTGCAGCTGACGAATGAAGACAAGGTGGTCGTCGCTCTCGGTCGCCCATGGGATGATAGTGTCCAGCGGAGAAGTGACTGGCGAGCCATGCTCGAACTCGAAGTGCGACATCCTGATAGTCGGATGAATGGACGAGTTATATGCCAACTCGACATCCGACAGCCGCTCAACCCAATCCTTTTGGTCGGGACGAATGAGAGTGCGAAGAAGAACCTGTGCGGTTTGATGCACCCTCTCCGTGGGCGGCGAGCCGAACTCGGCTTGAGAGATGAGCCCCATCGTTTGACGAGCGCCAACCAAAAATCGAACATGAACCGAGTGTCATGACCGCAAACGATCTCCTTGGCGTGATCCTTGGTACGAATCCAGCCGTCATAAAGAACCTCGGCCAACTCTAGTGCCTTTGGGAGACATGGTTCAAGCCCGGACCTATCAATTTCTTGTGCAAAGAAGAGCCATACTAATACTACGCCACGGGATTGAGTAATTTGTAACTCATCAAGCTCATAATCTGAATGTTGTAGGTTCAAATCCTACTCCCGCCAATCTTCGACCAATCTCTATTGGATGGAGAGAAGTTCTAACTACTTGTTCTTAGCATTTTTCTTGCATTACCCTACAAAAAAAATAATCTATCTTTTTTTTGTTCACTTTCTTTCTTTTTTTTTTGGGATTCACTTTACTTTCTTGTTTTAAGCATCTGCTTTTTTAGCTTTTTGTTTTGTTATGTTTCTTCTGATTTCTCTATTTAAAGCGTTTTTACAAATTCAAATAATCAATTACCATTGTTTTATAAAGTTTTCGCGTGATAGCGGCAAGGCAAAAAAATGGCAAACTTTGTAAGTCAATTGACCACGTGAGAATCCCGTCCACGCCGATTTTGTGCTTGGGGAACGACCCGGTGATGTCCCATTGCAATCGCTTCCCTTCGTCGCAAGGGGACCAGTAATGGTCGCAACTCGCCGAACTGACAATGATTGCGGGATTTGCTACGCCGACAAACCTCGCATGACTCACAATAGCGTGTGACATTGTCGAGAAGGCCAGGCCACCAAACGCACTCGCGAAGTCGGCCAATCGTATTATCGACTCCAAAGTGTCCGGTGGCGGGAGCGTCGTGGAACTCGCCAAGAAGCCACGTTCACAAGTGTGGGTCACTTGGCACGCAAAGACAAACAAATAGCCATCTTGGATCCGATAGTGCGATGGCGCCGGATTTGGAGAGGAGCAATTTGCGTACTTGTCGCGAAACTCGGGGTCGACTTGGTAGCCATGGATGAAGCTGTCCCGCAAGTCGTTGTCAATCTTGATCGTCAAGTAGACCGCAATGCAATGGTCCGGACGTTGTGAAAGCGCTTCCGCAAAACGTCTGACTTGCACTTGTCACGAAACTCGAGGTCGACTTGGTAGCCACGAATGAAGCTGTCCCGCAAGTCGTCGTCAATCTTGAACATAAAGTAGACATGGATGGCACCAATGCCATAGCCAAACGCATCGGTAGTGATGCGGGCTGGCAAAAGCGGGTTGTAGGGCTAAAAAGGAAGCCCGCACATCGCCGCCGAAGTCGAACGGCCAATCCCCGCCTTGAAGCTTGGTCAAATGGGCTGCAATCTTCAAATAGCCTTTGATGAAGCCTTGATAGTAGCCAGCCAGGCCAAGGAACGAACAAACATCTGTACTGTTCTTCGACTCCGGCCACTCTTGGACGGCTTGAATTTTGTCCAATAACGGATTAATGCCCTCCGGTGTGACAAAATGGCCCACGTACTCCAACTCTTGTCGTACGAATTCACACTTGTCATCGTCGGCTTTGTACTTGGCATTACGGAGCGTCTCTAACACGCGTCGAAGGTGCTTGAGATGGTCCTCCAAGGTCCGGCTATAGACGAGAATGTCGCCCAAATAGACCAGCACAAACCAGTCCAACATCGCGCAGAACTTGTTGGTCATCGCCGCTTGAAAAGTCGTCGGGGCATTGGTGAGGCCAAAAGGCATGACAACCCAATCAAAATGAGCGTACAGCATATTGAACGTGGATTTATAGCGATCTTGCGGGCGTATTGAAATCTGATGATAGCCCGACTTCAAGTCCAACTTGGAAAAATACTCTCCGCTGCCCAAACACTCAAGAAGATCGTCAATGCGAGGAAGAGGCCCCGCATTTTTGAGGGTGCCCGTGGAGCTTGCAATAATTGATGCACAAGCGAAGATCCATGTTCTTCTTCCATACGAAGAGAACTGGCGCACCATATGGTGAGCTACTTGGGCAGATCCAACCCTTTTCCAACAAGTCATCGAGTTGGGCGTGGAGAACCTCAAGCTCCTCCTCGCTCATGCAATAGATGCATCCTTTCGGCGGCACAACACCAACGTCAAGAATATTCACATGGGAGATCGGCCGATCCGGCACCACACCGGCAGGAGACTCAAAGACGTCGGCGAACTCGTCAAGCACCCACACCACGTGGGTGTCCGAAGACAAGTCCATGGGTGAAGACTCGGTCGTTGCAATGGTTCAAAGAAAACATAGGCCGATCTCGTCGGTCCACTCGTAAACGCAAGTCGACCGAAAAGACTTGGCCATCACAATTTGGCATCGAATCGAAGGGTGCGGAAGAGGGATGGTACAGAACCTCAGCGCCAAAGGTGTCACGAACAGTAAGCGTCCACCGATGGAAGTTAACCGTGTGATCCACATTTGCGAGCCAAGGCATCCCAAAAATAATGTCCAAATTCATGTCCAAGACGTCAAACGTAACCGGCTCACATGCATGACGTACGAAATAGACAGACACGGCTTCGATGTAGCGATCAAGAAGTTGTTGCGTCGGACAGTCCGCCCTCTTCACAGTCGTAGGATGTGACTTCCTTCGAACTTGTGCGCCAAGGCCGGCCCTTTGTATAAAGGATTAGCTCATGACATTGCGAGTAGCGTCGCTGTCCAGCAAAGCGCTGCAGGACACTTGCCCAACTTGGATGCGAACATAAAGAAGCGATGCATTGTTGTCATCGTACTGCTGCGTGCGAAACTCGCGGGCCACCTTAATAAGATCCAAGGAGGTCCCCCACCG